ACATTAATCACTGTCCACTTGATGATGATGATGATGAAAAATTCTGAAAAAACTCATCAATTCAAGTGTGTCAACGATTCAACATACAATCGCAGTGAAATAGAAGAGGTTCTTTGCGGGCTGAGTGAACAGAAAAATCGGAGACAATAGTATTTTTCTGTTCATACATCATCTAACTATCCTTCATTAGAAGGTATTATCGTCAATGAAAGTTTGTATTGGTCAATAGAACGACATTCTATCGAGAATATCAACATAGATCGCAGTGAGGACAATATATTGCGATTTATGTCAATATCAAAATCAACGAATTAGTCTTCCATTACATTTGAGTTCAGTTAATCGACATGCTACTTATGCATACGATCAATTTGTATACATAACAGAGGAAAGTTGTAGTACTAAGGTTAATCGATATTTATTATTTCCTACACGACCGAAAGACTTATCCAAGAACTACGGTATACGTATTGATGCATTCGAAAAAAACAGAATAACGTATGTTGGAAGTTGGCATTTTCCCATTACATTTCTCTTTTTACCTGTCAATCGACTAGCTAGTTCGTTGATTTTATCAAATTATATCATTCAAACTTCGTCCAATTGCTTGATTACTTGCAACAATGGTACCTGCGTAAAATATTTAAATAAAGAAAAGTATTTCTGTCGATGCCATTCTCAATGGACAGGCATTCAATGTAAGATCCCAATAAATCGCCAAATGTGTTCAGACGACTCATTTTATTTGGGATCAGTAGACAACCAACCGATGTGACCTCTCCTGACAGTAGCTATACTTGCGTTTGTTCTGATCAATTTTTGGTGTAAATTGTCAATATGTTAAGGTTAGACTCGAGGTTTCTCTAATTGATATGCGTATTCCATCGTATCTTGCGGCTTATTTCTTCACAATCTCCAATAAATCTGACCCGATGCAGGCAATTATACTTCAAAAATTGACCCTCTTTCAAGACACTGCTACCTTTCACATTTCAGTACCATTTCATATGGTAAATATTATCTTGCGGTACTTCAACAATCTCTATATACAAATATCTCAATATCAATTCGTCCTTCATAAGAGTGTATTCCTGCTGAACAATTATTGAATTCCATAGTAATGAAAATAGTTCAGTTTCGACGAATAATATTTTTCCATATTCTTTGTCATACACGTACTGATCTATTATGTTTCATTGATCCAGTCTGTTTCTTTGGTGATGAATGTCAATTTTATACCAAAGGTCTTGGCCCAACATTAGATGAAATATTGGGTTATGAATTAAAACGTAATACAATATTATCTAAACAATTTATCAAAGTAATAATGAGTTTTACTATTACAATGATAATATTTGTTATAGGTATCATTAATTGTATTTTATCAATAATGGTTTGTCGTAGGCCAGCATCGCAAAAAGTTGGTTGTGGAATATATCTTTTAGTTGCGTCATATAATTCCCTAACGATTATGATCTTATTTAGACTTAAGTTTTGGCTAATTTTTTTCTCTTATCAATTGGTATACGGACATCGTAATCTACAAGTCATTCTTTTCATAAATTGTTGAGTTGTTGAACCTCTTATAAAAGTGTTATTAAACATAGACAAATGGCTGAATGCTTGTGTATCTATCGAACGAATCGTTTCTGTACGTCAAGGAATTAGTTTTAATGCGGAGAAAAGTAAAACAATTGCCAAATATGCAGTGGCATTAGTATTTCTTAGCAACTTCGGTGTTTATGTTCTTCAAATAATTAACCTGCATATCTTTACTGACAATATCGAAGAACGAAGTTGGTGTGTCATTACTTATTCATCATTTATGCAAATATATAGTTTTACTTTGATTATGTTTCATTATATTGGTCCGCTATCAACTAATGTGATATCTGCTGTTACCATTATCATAATAACTGCTCGTCAGCATTACCGAACAGCTGCTAAGAGTAAGGGCGTGGGTGTGCCCCTTCCTCACCCGTCCTCACACCTACACACCCACTTCTTTTTTTCTTCTCCTTATCTATGAAGTTCATTCTTGGTTTTAATCCTATTTTCCATAATAAAAGTCTTTTTTCCTTCCTCCCTTCTCTTATACACTTAAATGTATGCTGTTTCTTATACTAATATGGTTGAATTTATAAATATGTTAAACAGAAAAAGTCATGAAATTGTTCATTTTTGTGTTGTTCTTGCTCATTTGTTACTTTTTTTCTTTTTCTTTTAATTTCTTATTTATTACAACAGCAAGTAAAACAATGAACCAATCATTACATATATCCTGAGAAGGCATTGTATGTACTTTCTTATAATTAAAAGAAAATCTATTTTTAAAATTCTTTATCTTATATGTCTATCTTCATTTGTGTATTTATATTATAAGTCGAATTCGGCAGCTATTTCAATGAATACTGTTTTTCTTGAGTTAAATGCTGATGAAACTGATATTATCACTTCAAAACAAATCGTGAATAGTATCGGATTCAAGTTATGTATTAAAATAGTTGAAATAGAAGAGAATCGATCACGATTTAATTCGAAACAAATTTCTATTGATTTGAATCATACTATTTTTATTTACAATTCATTACAAGAAGAAGATAATACGTGTATTAGAAAATTGTATCTTCTCATCGAATAGTAATCTTAGCTGTCGTTCGTTTCATCTGTCCAGTCAAAGCAACAACGTGAACTCTATTGACTCTTGTTGATTTCCGAATGAAACTGCGTATTTTCGTCAATAGTTCTGGTAAAACACTTAAACATATGATTGGTAATAAAAGTGGCGTGAAATAGACAATGAAAAGAATTCTATCTAGTTGATCCATCATAAATGAAGGCATGAGAGTAATTTGAATAAGTTGTGTTATTGTCATTGGTAGCCAACACGCCATGTAAAGTGATGAAACAATCCAAAGTTGTAAAACCATTCGACGATGACGTTGCCAATGAATTGTTTGATGACGCGATCGTTTCTGATAAATAACTCGAACAATCAATGTAACATTGGCAAACATGATCATCATTACAGGAAATGCAATATTAAAAATAAAATCAAATTGACCAATAAAATTCGCAGTAAAATAACACGGAATACCACAAATCACTGAATTAAAATCCCAAATCGTAACACAATATGGACTAAGAACTACAACGATAAAATAGAATAGTGGTGTCCAACTTAAACATAATATGATTGGTAAAATGTGCAAAATCCATTTTTTCCATGTATTTTCAAAGATGGTTTGTGGATGAAAAATAAATAAATGTCGTTGAATGGATATCCATGACATGAGAAATAGTCCAATCGTATTTAAAGAAAATTCAAACCAAGTCCACCATACACAGTAGGCATTTGTTTTTGGCCAAATTCGATTTATATAATAAAAACTCATAGGCATCGGTAAATCAATAGTTAGTTGAATAAAATTAACAAGAAGTAAAATGAACCAACCATGATTTTTCAATTTTGAACGAGATTCATGATGAACAGCAAAATGATGAAAAATTAAAATCGACACAAATATTGCTGGATTTTCAAAAATTAGTATTAAAATAAACTTGATTAGATCACCCATGCTTCCGAGAAACTATAATCAAAATTTTCTTTTCGAGACAAATGAGTTTCCACTAAGACTAGTTTCATTGATGATTTTCTTTTCTGATTATCAGATAGAGGATGAAGTATACTACATGTCTAAACAGATGGATGTGTAATTTCCTGATTTTAATTCTATAAACTCTTATCTTCACATTACTCAGCCTATCCATAAATAACATTTTTCTTAATTCTTATTGTATCCTGATTTTAATTAGAAAATTATAATTGCATCGCACTTTTTGTACCAAGATGTACTCTTTTTTATCATGTTCATAGAAGAGAATTCATTTTATCTATCTTCTTCGGCTTGAAATAATATCTCATCTTTATCGTCATAAATTATTGAAATAAAAATGAATCGACGCCATATTTGATCATACCTCAAAACTCGTTTTATCAGCTAACTTTATTTTTACCATATGTTTCTTGACACAATATTTATAGTATCTGCATATTGCAAATCAATCAGTTATTTTTCTTCTGATTTGTTAAAAATAAATTTCTCATGACGAGCTTCATGCCTTGGCAAATTCTTTCAACTTTGTCTGTATCTGTCTACCAACTAAAAAAATGATTGCAGATCGTATTTTTAATCTAAAATTTTAAGATCATAATCAAAACAAGTTTTTTTGGATATATTCAGATAGAACAAGTTCAGCTATACGAAATACTACTAGAAGGTTGATATGATAATACCACATGTGAGTATATTGTTTGAGTTTTTTCGATACATGATAAAGTTACTATCGTTGTAAATTTTTTACAAATTCTAAAAATGTCTTGGATATGTTTAACGGTTTCTAAATTTTAGAATTCACTAGTTTATTTTCGCGAATCTGTGAATCTAAACTTATTTTCTGATTTCCAGTGTGCTATTCACTTTATTATTAACTTTAACTAAAAAACATTATACTAAGATGTGGATGTGAGCATTCAGAAATTAGATCCAAATTTACACTTTCACCCTCAAGATGATTATTACTCAAAGATTCAGTTTCATTTTTTATCTGTTATTTTAGGTATCAAAAATGCTTCATGTGATCATGTATGTTAACTAACAAAATCTTTTTCATAAAAATACATCTTGAGGGTGGGTGTAACTGTGGGTATTATATTCTTTTCACATCTACACCCTATGAAAAATTTAACGTAAGATAAACTCTTATTTCAAGTTTAAATTGAAATTTGCTTTTGAATCAAAAGCAAACTGTACAGTACCAGATCCCAAAGCATTAAATCAAAACAATAGGAACGATAATACTACAAAGAAATCAAAAGAATTACCAAATTTAGAAGAATAATGTGTACTACTAGTTTAAATTTGAACTTACGATATAAATTTGTAATGTACAAAGACACAAGCAATTTTTATTAAGTAAATTTCACTCTTTCAAATTCTTCTTAATATTGATCGTATAAAATATACACACAAAGCAACTCAAAAACCTCTGCTCGTAACAACTGAGTGAAAAATAAATTTGAGGGTAAGTGTCGGTGAGTCTCTTCCTCGCTGATACTCACACACACACTTTTGTAACTGAATTGATTAAATGAGGAGAAGAATATTTTTCTCATCCACTAAGTTGTTTTATTTTAAAAAACTAGCTATTCATATCCATCTTATTTAGGTACACACACACATATAAGATATTCAAGAAAATATAGAATTGACAGAGACAGATGAACAAAGGATAATAAAGAGAAGAAAGAAGGTGATCTAATTGAATCCCTCTTACTTTTGATTAAAATAGGAAAAAAGCAAAGAAGATGGTATTATACATCTTCTTTCTAATTGTGTAAGAAGTAAACAAAAATGTAGAATAAAATAAGAAAAAGAAAGATGTGGATGAACAACATGATGGTCATGTGAAAAATAGGACAGGAGAAAAAAAAA